AGAAGTATTTTTCCTGATGTAATTTTTTCTTTTGTATTCCGTTTTTGTTTTTTACATTTTTGGGTTGGGATTTAATAAAAAATTTTTTATTTTCAATTTTTATTTTTTTTCAAATATGCATTTCGTCGTTGTATTGTGTTGTTCCGGACGTTTCACACCGCTCCTCTAAGTATGAAGGAGCAGCCAGTGTACGAATATCTGGAGAAACCTGTGCAGTAAATTTCGGTTCTTCCAGAGAAGTACCTTTCCTGCTGTAATATTCCTGCTGTATTGCGTTATTCGTGTTTTCATCAGTGTCTGGTTCGGATTTAATTAAAATATCGTCAGTTTCAATCTTTATCTTTTTCAAAATATCCATTTCGGCGTTGTCTTGTGTTATGGTAGACGATTTATACCTCTCTTCTAAGGCTGGACGACCAGGAAATGTACGAATAGCTGGGAAAGTCTGTGTTGTGGACATTTGCTCTTGCAAAGAAGTACCTATCATGTTGTCTTCTTCCTGTTTTATATCGGGGTTCGCGTTTCCCTGAGTTTCTGGTTCAGGTTGAATCAAAACATCATCAACTTCAATCTTTATCCGATCCGAAATATTCTTATTGGCGTTGTCGTATGTTGTAGGCGCTTTTCTTCTTTCATGTACATTTTCGCATGCAACAGATTTAGCTGCACAGGAAGTTTCATTGGGTTGATTTTCGGGATTATATGGTTTATGAAAGAATTTATGTATTTTCACAACGTGATCTTGGTCGTTGATAGTCAAACATATTATCCCGTCAACTTCAAGACGAAGTGTGTTGGCAACCGCCTCACGACATAATCCCAGAATTGACTCTTTAAGTAAGCGAGTATCTAGGTCACTTAGTACCATCTTTGTTTTGCCAAGCAGTTCCTGAAAAGAAAAGCGGTAAAAGGTAACACAATATTTTTTGCCGTTATGAAAATCGTGTCAAACATATCTAGGGGTATTTTAATCTGATTTTGTGGGTTCGACCTATGATTTAATGAACATCGTGAAATCGTGAAATATTCAAATAAAATTCAGTATTACATAGTTACAATTATAATTACACATGTTATACTGTGTGCACTCATTTTATTTGGGGAAAAATCTGCTTATGGTTTTATGGTATTGCATTTATGCAGCAGTCGGTAATAATTTCTTATAGCACTCTTTTCGGACTTAATTAACTGTCTATTTCACTTTGACTACATTGAGAATTCCATAATAATTATCGTATAAACACATCTACGGATGTTCTTCAATGCTGATTAAGCTGGTTCTAGTGGCGTATCAGTTCAACATGTAAATAAGTTAAATTGACATTCCCAGTAAAATGATACAAACCATTTGATTGAAGTTTCTTAGTAATGTGTACTTTAAATCATTACTATTTTACAAAGATCTCACAAATGAGCAGCATCAAGCTTAAATCCTAATAAAGGAATTAATTAATTAGCATCTTTTCTCAAAAGAAAGCTCTATAGTTGTTTTATTTTATCGCGGATGTCAATAGTGTTTCGGTCATACATCGTTGGTTTATTATAACTCATGTCCCATGATTCATTCGTACCAAATGCTGACACCAAATGCCATTCAAGTGAACATTTCAGGTTTAATATAAAAAAACAAACAAAGTCGAGCTTATATATATTATGCTCATTTTAATTTATAATAAAAAGTACATTTTTCAAGAAATTCAATTTGCTTTTATTAAAGCGCTAACATTTCTTTCATGAAAAAATAAAGAATGCAAATCAAAATTTATAAGTTAATTGTTTAATATTATAACAATTTTAAATATGATATCAACCTGTAATGCAAATTGTTTCAAACCGGTGGAGAAATTATAATGGTTTACATTTGTATTTGTGACATTTGAAATAGCGACAGTCACTCTATTCCTTGATTATTAAAAAGGTCATTATTTCTCGTAAATCATTGCGCATTTTAAGTCTACTTATGAATAAGCTACACATAATAAGAAAGTGATAAAAGAAAAATGTCCCTCCGGGGCTTAAGTACTTGTCCCATTCTCTGAAGTATTTACAAATTGTCTGGACTTAAGTACATGTAGTACATGTATATACATGTACAATAAGTGACAAAACAGTGTACGCTTGGTTAAACGGAAATTGTCAATGTGTACACTAATTTTCTGCACAATATTTGCACATTTGAATGATTTTGGTATCAAAATTTTCAATAAGATATTGTGTGCACGATGGTTTACTTTCGATAGAATTTTGATTATCATTTGAGACTTTATTTACGTGTATACATAGCGGAGAGATGAACACTTGTGTAGGGCACAGGAATAGACGCCATTCCAGCCGACTCTATTAAAAGTAATTTCTTATTTAAACGGTCTAGATCGAACCCTTAACGAGGTGCGCCTAACACATACTGATCATAGAAATTCATGAACATCCTTCAGACTAATCAGTATAGAACTCAAAATCAGAATTTTAAAGTAAACAGTTGAATTTTTATTCGGACGTTTTTCTTTGCGTTTTTAGAAATTATAACAACTGAGCAAAACGACGGAAACGAACTTTACGTTAAAAATCTTTACATTCAGATAAATTTGAGTGCTACTGATAAGTGAAGGAGGCTTTCATCCCGGAACCAAGTACCTATGATACTAATTAGCTGTCACGTGACTACATGAGTATTAAAATGTCTGCAAATTTTACTTTTTCTTTTGCCACTCGGTATAAAATATAACCCTAAGATAGAGGAAAAATGTTTTTACCTTGAACAATTAATCCAAAAGTATTCTTGTGAATATGAATCAAAGAAAACTTCAACGTTTGTAACTTCTCAAGTCAAATTAAGTGGTAAATACAATCGTAAATGAAAACGAAAGTGGATTTTAGCTTTTATATAGTATTTGGTGATAACAAGAATAAACAAACCGAATATGGGAATGGGATTATCACTTCAATTGACTATGGAATGCCGGTAGGGACATGCCAATTTGCTTCTTTGCCAGTTGCTGAATTGCTTATTTGCTAATTGCCGATTTGCTTATTTGCCAATGGCTGATAGGCTTAACGACAAATTTGCTTTGTTGTTCAATTGCTGAATTGCTAATTTGCTTATTTGTTAACCGCTGGTTTACGTATTTGCTTATTTGCCAATTGCTAATTTGCCTTTTTGCAATAGAAATAGTTTACACTGTGCCGGAAGTATATGATATGGAAACTCTGACTACAGATAACCAGTTGAGTCAGATCTGTTAACTTTTACCAACAGTTTTCTTGTAAATTCAGTGTTTTTTCAAGAATACTGTTGGTCAATGAATTTAGTTGCAGTGATGCCTACGCAGATATATGTTTACAACTGATGGCTGACATGTCCTTGAGAACACAGACGCTTGGGGTCAGATCCCGTACCCCAACGTGATACATGCTCCTGTAAACACTCTATTTAAAATATTTAATATTTAAACACGAATTGGACATCGTTAAAACTGGTTTTCAAGCAATTTTTACATATACCGGTATGAAAAAATACCATATACCACCAAGTCTCAATAAAGTACTTAATGGTTTTATCGTTGTAACAGATGTCCAATTCGTATTTAAATAAATATCAAAATAGTTTTGATATAGTGTATACAGACGCGTATCACGTTAGGGGCAGGATCTGACACGCCAGCATCTGTGCTTGAGAATGCCTTATAATGTGTTGCAGCTAATAGATCTGTTTGTGCAGCTTAAGTCAGAGATTGATGGCATAATAAACACTTGATTAGTCATATATAAGTGAAAATTATTGGGTAAAGATTGAAAATAAAAGACTTGAAAACAAAACTATTTCTTATTTTATGGCATATAAAATGTCGTTATTCTTAGCAGATTTTGTCACAGAGGGCCTCATTTTAGTGGTACGAACACATAGTATCACGAATGATACATTTTGTGCATGCTTAACATGGGGTGTTTGTCTTTGCACTTAAGCAATAGGCTTCGTTTTTAGCTCTGTAAGATTTGAAAGATCACTTATGTCTGTGTGTGTGCATCAACATTTTGCTTTGGTTCAATGTTTTTTGAAAATTTGGTCACACACTTTTCCATTTCTTTATGTTTACATTTTACATGCTATCAGGTGACCATGACCATGATCATGACCTAGGGTATAATGGACAAAGCCTCTTTGAATAATGTGATTGCATGCTGCCTATTTAATGCTTATGTGAAGTTACAGTTAGATATAAGCAATAGTAACAGAGATATGACAGAAAAACAAAGGCTTCTCAGTACAATACATTGGTGACCTTGACATTCAGTATATAACGGGCACAGCTTCTTCATGTACTTTGTATACGCAAAGTGTATGCAAAGTTGCAGTAGATGTATGAATCAGCAAACGTAACAGATATGACAGAAAAACAAGTTACCAAGAAAACCAATGCATTGGTGGGTAGAATAGCATCCCTATTCTCTGAATAGTGGAGCTAAACTGAAACTCAAGATAATTAAAAAAACAACTTATTTCTGAAACTGAATTTATTTTTTTCGAAATTGATTAAGATATATCCATCTGTCTTTCTACCTATATTCTAGGTAATGATGGATTGATCATAATTGTCACAATGTATAATTAACAAAACTTTATAAACATAATAACAGGTTCATGAGCTTGAAATAAAGTCTACAAAGACTTGTTATTTTATATCAAACAAGAACTTCGCGAGTCGGACGTGTCGCCTGACAATAGCATAAAAATTTATGTATATAAGCAAATAAGCAATTAGCAAATAAGCAAATAGGCAAATCAGCAAATAAGCAAATTGGCAAATCAGCAATTAGCAAATAAGCAATTAGGTAGTTGGCAAATAAGCAATGTGGCATGTCCCTACCGGCATTCCATAATTGACCGCCAGACAAGAGCAATCATCATAGCCACGCCCACATATTTTTAAGGGAAGTAACTCACGAAAAAGCCACATTGAAAAGAAAGGCACATTCGGAGTCCCTCATCGATTATTCAAAACATCTCGGAGTTGAAATTTACACCTATTTACATTTTGTACTTTCGGTTTGTTAAAAGGCAAGCGACGTTTTACGCACGCGTAAAATGGCTGCGAAGGAATTGTCAGCTGTGCACTGTATACTTTTAGAATAACAAAAAAATTGCTATGTAGACCAATGTCTGTTTAGATCTGCGCAGTTGTTGAAATTAAAGGGGAATCATAACGATAAAAAATTTCATTA